TTTTTTTTTTCTTTTTTACAGTATCGTTAATGATAGCACTGTGGTAGCAAATAATATTGTAAACCAATATTATATCAGTGTTTATTTACTGTCAGTTAATTGATTCAATTTGATTTATAAGTGAACTTATGGTAGATTTATTTATGCCAGTTAAAAACTATGTAAATAATTAGCGGCAATTGAAAAATTCAAGACGACAAAAAAAAAAAAAATACTAAACTAGAAAAAATTGTTGACCTCAATTTTTTTGTTATACTTTGTCTTCAAAAACAGTCTTGTACAAAAAACTATCACACAAAACATCACTGACCGACCTAACTGAGCCAAACTGTTGATCAATTACTTGAAGGGTACGAAATTGATGTTGACGATAACATAAATGATATTGAAAATAAATAGCTTCTGTTAATCTCGTTCTACGGCTCAAAACGGTTTGGCTTGGGGCTGTGATGTTAAAAACATTTAAAACATTTGCATATGGTTCAAAGCATCTAGATTCAAAAAAAATAAAAAAAAAAAAAGCAAATGAAAGGCAAAAAAGAAAATTAAATTAGAACCTCATGTAAGTAGCCAAAATTGTAAACATATGTTTTGAAAAGGTTCTATTGCTTCTCTATTAATTGTATCCTTCTTTTTCCCATTCTTTATAATGTTTTGATATCAGATCACAGTCCTTCTTGAAATAAGCAGCTTTTCTTTCCATATTTCTCTTGATTTTTCCAATTAAATAGAATAAAGTTTAAACTAGAAATAAAAAGAAATAGTCACAATTAAATGATTACATAACGTTGAGACGATTAACAGCCAATAATTTTATCTCTCTCTTACATTTTAACTTATTCTGGTTAATTTTACCTTTAATAAAAAAAAAAGAAGATAAAAAGAAAACTTTAGGACGAAAGATAACCTTCTTGCTATAAAATCTTCTGCAACACTTACCCCAGACTTCTCTATCATCCTAAATCTGTCAGGCAGACGACTAAGTCGGGTGAACTGAACCGCGAACTGTTCAGTGCATCATAAATCGAAAGGCTTCCTTCATTATACCAGCCATTAAAAGCGCTTGAGAAAGCGCTAACAATTAGTTTTGTCTTCATAGTAAGAATAGATTTTCATTTTTTCATTTATGCCTTATTTCACATGTTTTTTTTTTTTTTTTTTTTAGATTGTTCTCTCTCATGGGTAAAGGGCAAAGTAAAGAAGACAAGAAACTGGACGGTTCAATAAAGAAACGAGCCAATAGAAGATTGACTGTTGAGGAACTTAAAGAATTAGAAGAAATGACTTATTGTGAGTTAAGAAAAACTACAAGAATTCTCATTAAATTGATCACCAATCAAAATTGTTCATATTGTTTTGTAAGACAGAATCTTCCTACAATTTTTCACAAAAAATTTTCATAATCAATATTTTCATTCGCATTTCAGCTTCTAGCTTTACAGTTTATTATATGATTGATAAACCAGCTTATGAGACGTTAACAATTTTTAATTCAAAAGTCTGCAAGAGGAAACCACAATTACGAAACAATGAATTATTAATCGATAATTTTTTTAGTTTTGAAAAAACGACAAACAAAATCTGTTTCAACAGACATGTAATTTACCAGAAATGTAATTTGGTTAAAAATCTTTGCAATATCAATTAAAATTGTCTCCCGATGCAAATTCTTCAGTTTTTATAAGCACGTTCACCAGAAAAGAACAGTTGTTATTTTCTTTCATACCTTCTAAAAACAATTTTTTAGTTACTCAAAATGAACTGAAAAAATGGTACAAGGATTTCTTACGAGACTGCCCAACTGGCGAACTCAGGATACATGAATTTCAAAGTATTTATAAACAATTCTTCCCACGCGGTGACCCATCCAAATTTGCTTCTTATGTTTTCGGTGTCTTCGACAGTAATAAGGTAAGACAGCATCCCTAAACCTTATTCTTTCATCTAAAACCTTTTTAATGACTCTGGTCATACAATATCCTATGTAACGACAGTGGTTTTTCTACTGTGGTAGTTTTCTCAGGCCATTTGTTTCCTTTAATTTGAAAAATATTTTTAAAGCTTATAACAGAGGGTTTTGATTTTGTAAAAATGTAAAAAACCATTAGCAGAAAATAAAATTTTTTTTATAGAATATAAATTTAGAAGAAAACTCGAAAGTCAAAAAATTTCTAAAGCGGTGGTTATAAGGCGTAGTAACATTTTTTACGGTTTAACAATAGAAAAGCTAACAAACTGCTGTGTTTTCTATAAAAGTCATACTTCTGTCATTTGCAGCCCTTCATTTACAAAACTTTTTTGAATCAGCATCACTGATTGCATTTCTTACTTTGAATTTTTAAATTATAAAATGGTAAACTTTACCACTATGGTAATACAGAACATTTCAGCTAGCAAAAGCTTATTTTATTCTATCTTTCTATCATTTCATGTAAACTATATTTCATATTTGTTGCTGAATATTTCAACCAACAGTTCTTTCAAGAAGTTTATCTACTTAAAGTAAATACACCTATCACGCTTCTTCAACAAAAGTTACACACTTAGAATACTAGAGAAGCAAGACAATATCACACAAAAAATCCAAAAATTCTTAGCAGAAGGCTCTTTTTTAAAGACTGCTTAGCCTGTCGTGTATTCTGTCAAAAATGAGTTAACTCTGTTCCTTTAAGTTACAGCCAAAAAGACCAACTTTTTGAAGGATGACGAATTGAACAAACAATGAATTAACCAAAAGCTCAAAAAATCACATCCGCTTAAAAAAAGCAGTATAGCTGACAGTCAGTCAAACCTGAAGAAGTGAGAATCCATAAAGATTCTCGCATATACAAAAAAACAAGCTGGCTGTTTACCACGAGGCACTTCTGGTTTTTTACTTCAGTGCTATAATACTAATTAGAATGTATCAGTGAAAACTTGAAAGAACGAGCGTTATAAAATAAATAAACTTTTCTCAACACCTTTGAAAATACTGAGCATCTGTACATTGCACCTTCCAGGACTCAGCTCTAGAGGAAAGCTGCATTAAGATAAGAATATTTCACTGGTTTCTTAAAGATAATGAAAACACTGCCTTTAAAAGCTGGTGTTCTCGCAAACTTTCCCACTATTCCATTTCTTCGATTCTGTTTGAAATCGTTTTTTCTTGTCAGCAGTTGTTCTGGTTGTGCTTGCTGACATTTGCCATCACCTAGAATCTTGCTGAAAGACGTACAGACTAGTTGGATGAAATAACAGAGGAGATGAAAAACCAAACTAGTTTGCTGTCGAAAAAACTCGCGCTGGGCATTTTAGAAGTAGAATCTGCCTTTTTTTTGTGTGGTACAAAAAACATCTTAAACTGTTGTTAAAATTCTCTCAGATCTTTTGCATTTCTAAGTTGCTTTTTAGGATTTTTTAAAGGATTTTTAAATTCTTATCAGATAATTTCTTGAATGACAAATTTTATCTGAAAATGACAAAACAGTCTTTTTAAAGTTCCTTCGAAGATACTCCAGTTAGAAAACTTCGTTAACGATTGACGCAGCTTTACCGAAGAACTTTATCAATTTCAGGATGGTTACATATCATTTCGGGAATTTATCATTGCGCTTTCAATTACTTCACGAGGATCATTAGATGAGAAACTCGATTGTAAGTTTTTTTTAAAACTTATTAGTCTGGAGGGTCAGGCTACTTTTAAACAGTTTTATTTTTTGACATCAGTATTAGCAGATCAAATTTCAAATATAGATAAGCTCTAAGCCCGCTTTCCTTACCAGAACTTCACCAATTGACAATCGTCAATTATTTTTTCCTACTTTAGACATGCTCCACACCCAGTTATTTCATATTCAGCATCATAAAAGCCAAAACATATAAAAATTCTATCACGAAATCATAGGAGTAACTTTAACTTACTTTGGCTTCATATCTATTGCTGTTCACTGCAAGTGCATGCAAAGATTACCAAATTCAAGTACTAGTGCAAAATACCTTGCTAAGAAATGAAATATCTAGAGTTAGTAAAATTATTGCAATCTATATTTATATCTTTATATATTTATGTATTTATATATTTATAAATTTATATATTTAGGCCATTCCATGCCAACTGGCACATTTTTTCCTCTTCGCATCCCAAATTTTTTTGAATGTTACTGATTAGCAGCGTCTAGGCCAGTATACAGAAAGCCGAAAAAAAATCTGGAAAAGAGAATTCCCGGTCAAGTTACATCGTCTCAAAATTGCAAAATTTGCCAGGTTGTCGCTTGGCACGCTTACCTTTGCAGACTTTTAATTTAGCCTGTCTTCAATAGACTTTGACACTTTTTATTAAATTTATCATTTCCTAAATTTTTAAATGCATTTTAAATTTTTTTATTCTAACAAAAAATCATATAGATATAGTAAAAGTAATATTTCAAACAAACATAGAAAAAAAGTGTTTTTGAATTTTTCAAAAAAAAAAATTTTGTGCGGAATTTTTTGCGCTACAAAACAGCAGACTTCAATAGCAGCGATTTTTCGGTGTTGAGAGTTATGAACCAGAAAAGAATGTGAAACTGAGAAACCTGCTGTTTTTACAGTAATTCCATGTATTTTACATGACAAAACCGTTTTTGAAATTCGCAGACACCTGCTTTAAGAATCCGGTGTGCTTTAAGCGTTGGAAATTTCTTAAAAAAGTTGTATTTTACTTTGAAATATCAACAGATTGTTATTCTGCGTGTAAAAAGTGGTCTTCGTTTCAGTACCTTCTCACTTTTGTATTTTATTCTGTTAAAATTTTATATTAGTATACATTTTGAAGTCATGAAGAAGTCTAAAAAACCTACTGCTTTACCTGATTAGCTGCTGAGTTAAAATTCACCTAGGAGTTTTTATTTTTCTGGAAAGCCACAGAACAAAATTTCAAAAAAAAGAACAACAAGTTGAGCTATTGCAAGTAACTTTAACTTGTACACTATAAACATAATTCTAAGTGTCTAGAAGTTACGAAATACAAGAAGAAGAACACTGTAAAATGGAAACTACATCTGACAACTCTACAGGATAATAGTTTGTTAATATTTCAAAGTAAAACACAACTTTTGTAACAAATTTTCAACAATTAAAGCATACAAGATTTTTCTAGTAGCTGCCTGTGGCTTTCAAAAGCAGCTCAGGATCGTTTTGTTCTACATTCCCTTCCGGCTCGTAACTCTTGATACCAAAAAACCGCCATCACCAAAGCTTGATATGTTGTAGAGTAAAAAATTCTACACAAAATTTGTTTTTCCTAAAAAATTTAAAAGCATGATTTTTTTTCTACCTTTGTTTGGAATACTTCTTTTACTAAATACATGTGATTTTTTATTAAGATCAAAAGATGTAATATGCATTTAAATAGTCAGAGAACAATAAATCGAATGGTTAATCTAACAAATAAAAAACTGTTAAATTCCATCGAAGAAAGGCTAAATTACAGGCCTGCAAAGTCACTTATTTCAAACGACAATCTGGCAAATTTTGTAACTTTGTGGAGGTGTTAAATGAATGCACTTTTCCAGGTTTTTTCCCCGGCTTTCTGTATACTAGATTGAGTTCTATAAGTCAGCAAAATTTTAAAAAAAAACTGAGATATAAAGGCAGAAAAGTGTGCAATTTGGCATGGAACGACCCATTTATATGCTTATACATTTATATATTTATTTATTAGTACACCTATATATTTACATGTACAAATATATAACTTATAAATTACTTAGTCACTTGTTTATTTATGGTTTTATGATATGTTTCAGCACTAAAATCAGGTATGTTAAGGGCAGATTTTGTTAAATGCACACTTTTAGGGGCATTTTCATTATACGACGTAGACAAAGACGGCTACATAACTAAAACCGAGATGATTGAAATTGTTGACGCAATTTATTCAATGATAGGTAATGTTGTGGACTTCTCTGAGGGCGAAGAAACTCCTGAAAAGCGGGTTGCCGTAATATTTTCCAGCATGGATCTCGTAAGTTTTTCTTTAGAAAACTGCATAGTATGGGTAAGAAAACCAAAAACTGTAGAAATCCAACAGGTATTCTAGACATTTATAGACAAAATTGCAGTCTTGACACTCAGCTTTTTAGAATGTCGTTGTTTGAAAGAGCAACGTAGCTTACTGTTAAGAAGTTGGAAACTTTGGCGCGTATAAATCGTATTGAAAACTGATATTATTTGTACAAAAAGGAAACAGTTGAAAGCACAAAGAAACTTGCAGATAAAAGAGAAAGAGTTGAAGAGCTTTGAAATTTTTGGATTGTTTTGTTGTGAAAAAAAGCGCTAAAGAACGTAAGGCAGAGACGTCGAGAAAATAAATGATGCAATTTTTGATTTCTGGAATATTATATTACTGTTTGGGAAAATAGTAGAAAATGTAAAAGTGGAAAATTTTTTTGCCAGCGCCTGAAACCTCAGAGGTTTTTTTTTTCGGTCTTCCACTTGCTTCGCGTCTTAATACACTCAATAAAATTTTTCTTCGAAGTGACCAGATGCCGACACTGCATAAGCAGAAACCCTTGGAGCTGTAGTGTGAACCATTGCCGTAGCTATAATATAGTAAATGTGATTTCAAAAAAAAAGCTCTTGAATTACTAATCTGTTTGAAACAATAAGTGATGGTAATGCTATTTTAAGAGTCAGCGGCGGCAGCGAAGGTCTTGAAACAAACACTTGTCTTAGCTTGTTAGATCATTCTCTGTTTTATCGATTACTCATACAGCTACTTCAGGCGCAACTTTCGCTTCTTCCAGGCTTAATTTTTTTTATCAGTTCACGTAAGGAGTACTGTAAAGTTAAATTAAAGAAAGGCCACAACAGCAGAACAGACGTCCAATTAAATACGGTAGGGTATGGGTAAATTTTTATCACTGAAGGAAAGGTGTGAACCAAAATAGCAAAAAGTGTCAGCTGTTGTTGAAGTAGAGCGCTTTTCCAGAGTCGTTTACTTTCTTTCGCTTAGAGACATTTAAATTGAGAAGAACCTGTAGTGAATGAAAAATCTATGAAAAAAAATCTTTTTGCAAGTCGGTAATGCAAAAATCTTATTTTACAGATAGTTTTGAACTTGTCTGATGTAAATTTTTAAGCAAGTTTCAAAAAGCCAATGCTATCGCAGGTAATACGGTCAGCAACATCTTTCACTTGCGGCTTTTTGACCTCAAATTATCTTGATAATGTTAATGTTGTTCACGATTTTTCTCTCCCGTCTACCACTTCAAATGTATTTGGGTATTTTTGATCTAGCGAGCTGTTTTAGGCAATGAAAAAGCTGCTACGGTTGCCACAGAAAAGTTACTGGTAATTGATGGCATTTAAGAGGACTAAACTAGATTCAAGCTCACATTTTGAGAGCAGTCTCTACATTTTGTAGTAATGCAGCGAAAAAGACCACCAATGGTTATCATCTTGATTTTAGAACCTTGATGGAAAGTTAACTCGTGAAGAATTTAAAGTGGGTTCAAGAAACGATCCATGGATTGTACAAGCATTAACGATGGATTCATAAAACCAGGTGATCCTCCTCATGAATTTAATTATAAAGTTATAATCTTGAATTTATGACCAGCTTTAAACTTGCTATATTGGAAAAGAAGGTTGAAAGATGTACCGTAACTAATCTGCTCAAGTAATCTTTGCAGTTCATTTCAGTCGTCACCTCAGTTGATTTAAGCCATTACACGTTCTCATTCATTATCCTAGTGTGAAAGCTTGTTCCTTTGAGGCAAATTTTTTTTGTCCCATTCACAGTACTACACGCTTCAATGCTGATACATACTCACCGCTCCAGAAACCTGTAAAACTGGACAGCTACCTCAACTAAATCTACAGCAAAAAAAAAAATTTACAGTTATATTGCGCATCTTCAATTTCTAGACTCCCTTTGGGACAGTTACTGAAGGTAGCCTCTAGTTCTGTTTTTCATGGCCTGCTCCTTGTTTACTAACCAAAATGGATTTACATTAGTAATACTGTTTTTTTTTTTTGCTAAAGTAAGAACAAACTTTAGTGGCATTCAGTCTTCGCCTAAGCTTAACACTATTAATTGAAATAAGTTCTATTATGACCGATACTTTGCAGCTTACACAACAAACTCTGGATGACCATAAAGGTAAAACACGGTAAGCCTGAACTGTGACAGCGTTGTCAGTCTCTGCAATGTGGTTTTGAAATTTAGTGTTACCATATTACTTCCTTTTACCGTGTCAAGAAAAATCACTCAACGTTCCTCTGTGAGAGAAAAAGCTAAAATCTTAAAAAGACTTCATTGGTATTCTAATACTGCAGCGAAATTAAGCACAAAAAAAACGGATGTAATCAGAACGGTGTACTTGATTGCCCAGATTGTCTAGCAACAATTTTACCACGTGACGCAGAGCTTTATTTTGCAATTACATTACTTGGGTAACAAAATGTCCTTACCACGTAAAAAGCTATAAAAAAACTTTGGTCGAGATATGACCACACTTACAGCTAGTAGTTCTCCTACGACTTTAGCCAAAAAGGCTTTTCGGCGTAAGAAGAAACTACTTTCAAAAGAGGGATAAAGAGAAAGCAATAAGGCGTAAAAAATGGAAGACATTCAAAGAAACCAAAAAAACCAAGCCGTTATGTGAAGAAAATACATCCTGCAGAAGGATTTAAGGTTACGGCTGACAAAGCTCTCCAATGTCGTTTATTCACCGCCATAAACCTGACATTCTTTAGGAAAGCATGCGCATTTCTTCAACATATTCTTAATCAAAAGATGGAATTCTGGCAATCTGTGTTCACCCTCTTCGCCACTCCCCCTCAAACAGAACTCAACAACGAATGCAATTCATATATGAAGGAATTAAATCATTATCATGCAAGCTCGCTGACAATGGGGTCGGGAGCTGTACTGCAAAAAGGCGGAAGTCACCCGGAGCAGCTTCGAACTAGAGCTAAGTAAGAACAAACCCTCATAGAGCAAATTTAATGTACGAGAGCACAATATTAAACGAGTATTTGAACAGATCATGCCCAAACGTTTGTTCCTCTAATTTGAGTAAAAAACCAAAATGATAAAGTCATCCTGATTGAAAAATAACCAGATTGTAAACAAAAGTTTGTGCATATAATGCTCAAAAATCCTCAACCCCGAACATCTTCAAATGGAAACAGTTAAGTGAGAGTAGTTTTAAAAAATCGTGTTTCAAAGAATAGAATCAAAGCCCCTCACCGCGACATCTTTATAAGAAAGATTCTTTGAAAATCTATTATCAGTCGAAATTTCGATGTTTTCAAGGTGCTGCTATTACCACAAAAAAACATCATATATGCCTTGTCTTTTATTTCAAAATCTTTTTCCAGTTCAAAAACAAAGTTTATTTATCTACCACGTTGTTTCTAGAACACCAGATTAAAATTCCTTTTCTCCCTGGTTGCAGTTCTTAAATGGAATACAGTAAGGAAATAAAAACCTCAATGAACTTTATCTGTCAGCAAAAGAATGCCTCAAGAAGAGAACTGTAAACTAAGTCGTACTGAACATTATAATATGCTACGTTTCACAGACTATGCTGTAAGTAATCCACTTGAAAAAAACCAAACGACCAAAAAGCTAAATTAGTAAAAACCAGAAAAATTTGTTTTCAAACGAGGTACCTACACTCAAACTAAGAAGTCTAGTGTACTAAAGTCCCGTCGAAAACTTCGAGTTGCTTCATAAATGTGGGGTATGGAAAAGTTCCGGAATGACTGCAGAGTTAACCCTTTGGCGATAACTCCGCTATCGATAGGATGAAGCGGTGCTATTGCCTTCTTCTGTTCAGAGGGAAAAGCGTGCACCCCTTATCAGTCTTCATCAGAGTTTACGTTCTGAACATCCAGAGCATTCGGATTCGCCTTCGCCTGCAATCTTTGGTCCAAATCGGGACAAGAAGTTATCCAACGCTGCATCCTCTTCTAAATTAATAAGTACTCAAATTTATCTCCAAAAATCTGAAAAAATTCAAAAAGAGAAACCTGCAGTGCGGCGCTGTCCTTCTTTGTCACAGGTACTGCACTACTCACAACGCAAGTAATTATTTCATCTAGTCGAGCAATTAGCTTTTCGCAAAGCGTTATTTCGGTGCTGTTCGGTTTCCAAGTATCAACTTCCAACAATTTGTAAAGGAAGTGGTCCTTTATAAGGTTATCATCTTTCTCTTCAACAAGATAAAATAACAATAAGTAGAAACGCCCAATAAATCGATCAGAACACATTTACCACGCTACTATTAATTGTATTTTTACCACTAAAACTACTTCAAATAACAGATTAGATATATCTTTGTAAAAAAATACGTGGACTGCCCCAGAAGCTCTTTCATCTCTACTATGAAGCAGTTTTTTACAAAATTTTGCTGACTGGCAGAGCCAAACCTATTCCATTCCAAAATTCTACTGTCACAAACATCGAGATTCCTCGTCCTCAGAAAACGACAATAACTAGAAGCGCCCAATAAGTTGATCAGAACACGTTTATCACTTAACCAAAATGTACCTTCATTTATCAGTTACTTGGTCTAGTTACCAAAGGTTAACAATTTCTGCATGTTAAGCATTAACAAGAGACGTGAATCCATAACGTTCGCATTACTCTGTGTCCTCTTGCTTTTCAGCGATAGAGTTCTAAATATTAGAATTGGCCTAGCGTTGTCGCCACAGATGTTGTACACGGCAGTGACATCTTTCATAACTAATAACCACTACCATCAACTACCACAACATTGAATGACAACATTCAAAACAACGTTCTTTTCAATTAATGTTCTTCACATTATGTGCACATCAGCATCACTTGCCGTTCTGATGACCGTGAGGTTTCGGAATTCAAGATTTTTGCCCATTATTCAAACTGTATTTTACTCTTCAACTGTATGCTACCATAATACCCACCAAGCAAAAGGTATTATGATTTTTACTGTAAAACTAAAGTCATTTAAAAATCAATTTTTTAAAAACAGATACATATTCTTTTTGTTGCCAAGATATGGCTATAAAGAGTGAAAAATAAGTAGTTACAATATTGTTTGGAAAACGCACCACAAGGCATCCAAGCATAACTGACTAACTTCAAACCCTTCCTACCAA